TGCTTAGTGGGGAAAACAGTTTGTTTGTGACTTATAAAGCTATTCAGATGGAGGGCGAAACATCTCTCAACAAAAAAAGAAACTGTCCAGATGACCTAACTGAACATTGTTGGATTTTATACCTGGATGATTGAGCATGAACCTTGGAGTTTATAGATATGTTATTAATTCCCCTATTAACACTTTTTAAATCATTAATAATTGTTTATTTTGCATTAATTAAGGGTGACAGAGAGACAAAACATCAGTTTCTTGCCAAAAAATTAGCCAAAAATCTGTTCACCTATATATTTCATCAAGAGTTGTTATATTAAACAACTTTATCTGCCTTTAAAAACAAACAGTTCCTGCTCCATCCACCCTTTGCTAAAATGTCTTGATGACATCAAGACTTGGATGGCTGCAAACTTCTTGAGTTTTAATGATCAGAAGACTGAGGTCATTGTGTTTAACCCAAGCTCTACCACTGTCACTGATCCTGTAAACCTGCACTCCCTTCAGCCTCATCTAAACCAGTCGGTTATCAATCTCGGGGTAGTGTTAGACTCTGACTTTAAGTTTAATAAACAGATCAACTCTGTTCTACAAAAAAGCTTCTTTCAGCTAAGGCAGATAACAAAGCTTAAGTCCGTTCTGTCCAGATCCGACCTTGAAAAACTAGTCCATGCATTTATTACAACCCGGCTGGACTACTGTAACTCACTTTATGTTGGGCTGTAACTCACTTTATGTTGGGGTCAGTCAGGCTTCACTCTCACGTCTCCAGCTCGTACAAAATGCTGCAGCTCAGCTACTAACAGGAACTCACAGGTTTGAGCACATTACTCCAGTTCTGTCCTCCCTTCACTGGCTTCCTGTGTGTGTCAAGAGTTGATTTTAAAATTCTCCTGCTGACATTCAAGTGCATTAATGGCCTTGCACCATCATATCTCTCCGACCTCCTTCATCCTTATACTCCTCGGGCTTTGAGATCATCAGACCAGCTGCTTTTGGCCGTACCAAAAACCAGCTGAAGCTCAGAGGAGATCGAGCATTTTCAGTCGTGGGCCCTAAACTTTGGGATAATCAAACAAGGCCACCTCAGTCTCTGCTTTTAAAACTCTCCTAAAAACACATCTGTACTCACTGATATTTAACACAGGGTGATCGGATTTAGATCTAGTTTTTCATTGATGCTGATTCTATTTATGCTTTTGTTATTATTCCTATTTAACACAAGGTCATCAGATCTGATTTAGTATTTCATTGTTTCTGACTGAGTTTATGCTTTTTGTTATTATTTCCTTGACTTTTGACACAATGCGAACTGATTTAGTATTTCATTGTTTCTAATTATGTTTTCGGTTTTATATTTTTATTCCATGTGCTGTAAATAAATCTTGCTACTTTTTATTTGATGTTGTGATATTTTTGTTAAGCACTTTGGTAACAGTTTCTGTTTTAAATGTGCTCTATAAATAAATCTGACTTGACTTGACTTGGTACAGAGTCCTGATGACTCCTAACTTGTGCTCCAAAGGGTGATGGGAGTCAAACTGCAAATACTGGTCTGTGTGGGTGGGTTTGCGGTACACCTC